ATCCTGTGAAACATTTGGAAAATGCAGTTCAAGTTTGCCTAGCCAGATTTTATGTTTAATTGAAATACTTTGAAGATCTTAAAACTCCAACGAAGTTATTAATGAAATAGAGTAATATTTAAGATTGGAACTGGGTAATCTAGATAATAATATAGGCTTCTTTTTTCTAAAGCATTTCAGGAAAATTTATCAGGGCTGATTGTGAAAAAAAAAAAAAAGCAGGAAAATAGAAACACTATCAAGGACTGCAACAGCAGGTCCACAGTCTATTTTACCCTTCTTGGGGCTGCTAATTGATCGGCCCACTGTTACCTGCCTTTAGTGTCCTGCAATATCGCACAATATTATATTTGATAAAGAAAAAGATTAGCATTGATGCTACAGATTATTCACAGGGAAGGGCAAAGCTACGTATATCTAGCTAAATCTTTCCAAATCTTTCTATATCTTTCAAAAACTGATATGCTGCTAGCACAGAGAGTTGTTATTAAGTTGGTACTCAATGACCTTTATTGGCACAAAGGCATCTATGCAGAAACTATGCAAGTTGTACAGTCATTTTTTTCCCCTACATATAGGACTTGCACTAGAAAATGGGAACCACCTCCAACAAGATTAACTGTTGGACGTACCTGTACGTGATTCAGCATGAGCTATACTGGGCTGTATCTGTGTGTATCTCTGTACTCATGAGAACGTAAATATGCTTCTGCATTCTTATCAGACCCAACCTTATTCTATTTACTTCTCCCTCCTTATATCCTCTTGCCAAAAGACAAAGTGAAAAAGAAGTAGCAATTGCATTGATCAACAGGGGAAGATTATACTTGCTTTACATACTATTTGAACATTAGGCTTATTGGTTTTCTGAGGAGTTAGGAGACATACAAATCTAGCCATCCTGTTTGGAACCTTCTTCTCAAACAGTGCACTCTGTATATGCTGAAGTGCTGTTATTACTCTATTAAACTGAACTTCATTACATAAGTACAAATTTTATTTTCATGAGCACAACTCAAGGACATGTGAATTGGTCATTTCTCAAGTTGATAAGCATCATGTTTCTGAAATTTGTGTGTCTCTGTCGTGCATTTTGAATTCAATTGCACTTCTGTTACACGAAAAGAATATGAAATGCCACTGAAATCAAATGGGATGATGGAAAATGCTGGGTTTGGTTTTAGTTTTTTTTTAAACCAGATCTAGTAAATAACTTGCTATATAGCGATTTAGAAACTATTTTTGGAAATGAAGATGTAAGTACTGTATAATAACATCAATGGTAACTTAGAGGCCTTAGAAGAACAATTACAGTTTGTACTACTCACTATAACTTCTAGGTTTTGGTGATGATTAGGCCTCTCTTTTGAAGGGATGTCTTCTGTGCATCCTGTTCAGGAGAATCTGGTTCTCAATAAACAGTTTAAGGCAATTCTCAAACTCTAATTCTTCTAGGACATCACCCCAGATGTAGAAGATGTTTAGGGGCTGTTTATTCGTAGGTAGAACCTGGAAAATCTGTGATTTTCCCCTTCTGCATGCTCTCACTCCACATCACACTGTTCTTTATCAAAGTAGGTTTAGCTGACTGGTATCATTTATTTCACTTAATGTGAAATAAAAGTGGTTATGTGGAAAGCTAAGCTTCAGACAAGCATTGCCTACAACTCAGCTGATTTCACTAGTGTCTTTTATCATTCATCAGTGTCCAAGACAGACAACTGCTTATAAAGATACTACAGATAATGTAGTATGCCCTGAGGTTACTACGTTCTGTGGATGAAAAGTAGTTTGTCTTCAAAACTTTGTCTTTAACATCTTAATGGGAACTTAGATGTATTTGTGCCAGTATTTGAATAAGTCCTAAGACCCTGCTTTCTAAACTTGTAAAATTCTGGAAGTCTTTTGCCAAGTCTTGTGAGTTACTAAGTGACAATTCACATCTTTTTATTCTGGTACTTACAAATTTAAGAATTGACAAGTCTGGTTCCAATGACCAACACTGAAAAACAAGCAAATGCATGTGATGTAATGATTAGCCACAAAATTCAGGGCCTGTAACATTTGAGATAATTTTAGAATTCTTCTTACAAAGGAATTTTTATTGCAGAATTACAATCTGTCTTAATGGTGCAACAGATGCTATCTCATTAGATGTTTGCAGTTTATTGTGTCTTGTATGTTATGTTCTGCTAAAAAGAAAAGGAGAAAAAGAATGAATGAGAGACATAGCAAGAAGAAGACTGCAGTAAAAGCAGAGAATGGGAGATTGCTGAGAAGATGAGGGAACAAATATAAAGCCAACTCTCCTAACTGAGTTTAAAAAGAAGTTTTTTATAAGGACCTAAAGAGACTCTCCAAGTTTACTGCAACCCATGAAAGATTGTGGAGAAAAGAGCAAACCCAGAGGGCAGGACTATGTTTTGTAGGAAAGAATGAGTAGAAAACTTTAATTTAATAAGAACTTACATTTCTCTTCTGTCTTATACTACATTATTGTATTTAAAAAGTGAATAGTTCTGATGTTTGTCTAAATGCAAGTTAGTTTTGAGTTTATAAAAAGAAGAGATATATAGTCCAACATGTTCCTGTGGGTCTCAGTAGGAGTCAGTGTGGTTTAGATGATGGAGACTGATACCAGGAAACAAAAACTAGTCTGATGTTATTTTGAAGTTAAATGTCATGGAGAAAGAACAAGATATCTGGACTAAAATAAAATCAGTTTTTCAAACTTAAAATCCTAGCCTACCTAGTTGTTAATAGAATAATCTGAAAGTACCTATTCTTTATGGGCAAAAGAACTGGAAGTTCAGACTGATCAATGTTATTCATTTTTAGTTTTTGTTCTAAGGAAAACACTCAACATAAGAACATATTTCCTCTATGTACTTTACATTCCTTTCAAATACGCTCACAAAGCTCTAAACCGAGCTAATCAAACAGCTACATGTTCAAAGTTAACAGTTTGGAATGCCAGCATTTAGGCTTTACAAGAGACCCTAACTTGACTCCTAAGACATTAAAATATAAAATATAATGACATAGTTGTTTTAAAATCCTTGAGACTTGCAGGGTTCAACATTCAGCTCTTTGCTACGAACTACACAGCTTTTCTAGCTAAATACTGGTCACTAGATGTTTCCTCTCTTCCCTTCTTTACTAACTCTTAAAACAATTCACACAGTCACTAGATGTGCACTTTGTCAGCCCCCTGATATGGTGAAAGAATGCATTTGTGTGCTGGCTGCTGCAGGAGGATTGTTCCGCACACAGGAATGTAATGCTGAAATCAGTGGTGCTGCATTAGCCTTTTATGTACTTGATTATTTTCTTTGTTCCTTGAAAACAAAATTTCAAGTCTGACACTGGGGGTACAAGTATACTAATTTTAGTAAATTTTATGTCTTATTTACACTGTTATTTCATTTTTTTAATAATGTCACTTTACAGTGATATTTAATTATTCAGTAAGCTGTGAGCAATTATGTCAAGTTAAATAGATAATACATGTAGTGTTTGGATAGTGTTCTTTCCATTATGATTTTACTAAAGAATAAGATACAACTTTAGATATTTTTTTTCTGAACAACATACCACTATTTATTTTCAAAATCTCTGGCCAAAAGCCTTTCTTTAATCACATACAGTAACTAATATATTATGAATTCATATTCAATATTATATTCCAGCTATCACTGACATGCTTCATTTTCTGAGGAAAATAGAAACACAAGTATATTAAATTCCAGTGATTATGACCATATCTTTTTCAACTTAATTGCAACTGAAACTTAGAAAGCTCAAAATAAAGGCTGTACTGTGGCTCATACATGACAATTATTAGAAATCAACCATTTCCCATTGTACAGAAAACTTTCAGAATTTTAAAGGCTGCCTCCAATCAAGGAGGGAATCAATGCTGACTCTTGTAGTGAGGTATAGCAACATACAATATGCAGTGTGCAACACTACTCAGCTAGTGTTCCCCAGGAAGGAGAAAAATGGGGTACTGTGATGGAATAGAAGGATGACAGAAAGGACACAACAATCTACTGCCTGAAGCTGGAGAATCAAAGCCATATCTACCTGATGTCCTTACTGGTGCACAGACTGTAATTCAAAATGCACCATAGTAAAAAAAGTTCCCCATATACACCAGTCCTAACTGGGAACTTCTGATATTTTTTTAAAAGTCAAATCTATTTTTGATAAGCTCATTGGCTCTCCTTGGGTTTGACACACATAAGCAGATTTTGGAAATATAATGTCAGAATTAAATCTCCTGGGCTGTTCAACAGATGAACTGCACTGGTATAGCAGCTTATATATATAATATATAATATAATCCAGAATGATTCTCCTACAGTTAAGCTGATCCACTTTCCAGTTATCTTTAATCTACTCACCCCCAAGTTAGTGATAAAGGCAGCATAAACAAAGAGATGCAGGATATTAAAGAAATTCTCAATTTAATTTTGCTAGTTAGTGCAGAATGTTTTTTGTTGTATCAAATTACTCCAAAAGAGAAAGCTATTTTACAAGAGGATTAAACATTATATTAGTAAAGTCAGAGTGCTGTTTACATTTTCCTCTCTCACAATTCCTAAGTTTAATGAAAGCACAGAGATCACATTTGTTCAAATTTAAGCTTTGTTTATTTTACCCGTGTAATTGCCTAACTTTCAAGACATGCTTACAGCAAATATTTTTAAAGAACGCTGAATGTGACTAGCTCTACCTTCACTGAGAAGTTATATATGCCACATCTAATATTTCAAAATCACTGGTTTTTATCAGTTGGTGAGAATGGGAAATAAGTTTTTCTAACAGTTATAAATAACTGTCTAGTAAAACACATTTATTTCAGTCCTCAAATGTAAAGAGTCATGAGCTGAGACTGGATTTAATATGAAAAAAAGATGCTACTGTTAATGTACTTGCCTCCTTTTAAATAGGTTTTATTGTCACTTAACATTTATATTGCCTTTTCTTTTTTTCAGTTTAGTCTCTTCATCACAAACCCAAGGCTTGAGAAAAAAACCTAAATAAACAAGGTCTGGTAGTTGCAGTTGTGTCTAGTGTCATTTGGGGAAGATAAATCCTACAAGAGAGATGCATGAGAACTGCAAGATCAATCGATGTCATTAAGATATTATGCGGTAAACTAAATACCACAAGAGCCTACTTCACAATCGTGGTGCAACACCTGGAATAAAGGGAAGACAGACAGAATCACAGTGTGAAACAATAAATTCAACCTTGCAACAGCTTGATTTGGCCAGCCAAAAGCACCTCAGCACAGAGGGAATCGATACAGTTTAGTGTCTCTATCTCCATAGTTTCTGTTGTGCTTCAATGACATTTATTATTACTTCTGTAATTGCTTGCCCTCCAGCAGGAGAGCGTCACTAGTAAACAAACACAGCTGTACACAGCACTGCAGCGGTGCCCCACCACTCCTCTCAACACAGCTGTGGTATTGCTGTCGACATCCGCTTTCTGAAGTCTTCTGTGCATCAAACTAACCAAAGCATAGTTTGAATTTTCATTTACACAATGGTATTTACCCCAAGGTGTTCCTGAAGATCACAGAAATTAAATGCACACAAATCTGCCAGTCAAATTCCCTTTTAGGAAATAATGCTGCAAAATGAAATTTTGAAAAGGATAATAAATGCATCAGATGTCATTCTGTGAGTAAGAAATAGAAACTTGGAGTTAACACCAAAGCGATGATGACAAGAATTTTCAGTGTGGGAAAGGCTCAAAGCCTCCCTCCCTGGGATGCCTCTCCCCCCAGCAGGCATCATTTCCACACAGGATCCCAAAGCCTATCCAGACCCAAAAACTTACATAAGATTTGTTCTTTTGCTAGTGTCTCTTTTTAAAGTATCAATACGATAAATGAAGAGATATGTGTATGACTATTGTGGTAACAACACAAATGAAAAGCAGAAAAAAACATACAAATATTTGCTTCGTGATTTCTACTCTCAACAAGAAATTCATATTGTCCATGTGATTCCCCTGTAAGAAATATCTTTTGCAGATTTCAATTTTTAGATCAACTTTGCTTATTCATTACTTTTTTTCAAAAAGTGAAATGAAGATCCATTAATGTCAGAACTGGATTTAAATTTTAAACTAGTTCTATCCCAGTGGCACTCTGTTATCTTAACATGTAGTTAAGCTACATATGATTTTATAAAATCACAAGGTAATTTTAGAATCATAGAATCATTTCCAATAATTTAGATAAAAAGAAAATCAGGGATGCACAAGTATTTCACTGTACTGGGGCTTTCACTGGTGTGGAGACTTCAGGAATAAACACAGCTACTTTTAGGTATAAATGTTGATTCTTCACTCCATTACACTAGTTAAGTGACATTGCTTACCACAGAGTAAGCATCAAAAAGGGAACTTGGTAGCCAATTTTACATTATACAAAGCCTCTTAATTAAAAATACTGTTACACTGTGGTATTTGTGAGTCTGTGGGTGCATTTATAAAATGGTATTTGATAAAGCAGCTCTGCAAGAGAAATGTTGAGATATTTAAAGAGGCAGGTACCAACTCAGAGATTGTCTACCTAAACTTTGTAATTAAATACAATTCACTGTATAATTACATTAATTACCCTATCATATGGGTCACTGAGAAAAATTAAACAAATATCTAAAATTCCAGAGAAATATCAGGAGCAATTTCATTTTGGAAAAAGCTCACGGGGATTTCAGATCTTACTCACGAGTAAATTTTACACTATTGAGCATGACAATATTGCTGACTTTTATATTAACAGGGAACGATTAATGTCTTGTGACACTACAAAATTTCAAACCACTAATAAGTATTACAAAATTTTACTTACATTTTACTTACAATCTTACAAAACTATCAGCGTAAAGAAACCAATTTGTCACTGATGTCACCTGAGGCATTACACTTCAACAATTATATATGACAGTACAGAAACCACAGTGTTGCAATTGCTTTGCTAAGCAAGGAATTATTTTGTAGCTCTCTCTAAGTGAACCAGTTTAGAGACCTGGTAGGTCATACAGTAAAAATAAATATTCGTATTTCTTTAAAAGAAAAGGGAGTTGTACAGATTTAGTTTTGTTTTTCTCCTCACTTTTCCCATAATCAATATGTGAATTGGTTCTATAACATACATATCAAGGGAAGAAAATCTGTAGAATCTGCTTGTAATCTGGCAAACCTTCCCAATGGTGAACAACCTTGACTCCATTCAGTTCACCAGGGTGAAGATGTCACAGAGTGGAAGAGGTCATCTAACCCAAAACATGCAGCCAGGCTTGTGCTATTGCATGTCTCCCACATATTCTAAAAAATCACAGGAAGATCCTCCACCAGTAGAAATGTTCCACTTATTTAAACATTTAAATAAATTAATTTGACTTTCATTTAGATGACTGTATTAGGAAAATGTGGATTTTGGTTTAGGAGTAATTTTTTTCTCTGCAGATTGTAAAATGAGTAGAGGATGACTAAAATGGTTAGAGACATGTACAGAGATGATGCTTACATTTTGACATTACACTATGGGAGCCAAATACTAAGTTTCCCGAGAAATTGCCAAAACTCTATGTCAGCAGAATGCTTGCCTCCATGTAGCAACATATGTTTGAAATAAGGTGCGATTTTTCTGTGTTAAATGAGCTGCTAAATTACCATGAAGTGGGCAAGAAATGTGACCAGAATGTCACAGTTAAGTCACTAGTTGCTGAGCAGACTTCCATGTAGGGATATCAGCCCATGTCAGGTACTGTGAGGTTCCTCTCACTGGAGCCAGGCAGTGCCAAGCAGTTCTCGTTCTCTGGTCAAATTTGCACTTGGGCCAAGAGGAGCAATAAGAGCAGAGGCTGCAGCAGCTCCTCACCTCGGTACTTCTCCCTTTTCTGTCACACCCTTCCCCTGCCAGCCTGATCTAGCTACACTGCCCCCTTGGCATGCTGTGTCTCCCCATCTTTCAAATTTTCCCTTCAACTTCATTCCCTCAGAATGGTTGCCTTGGTAAAGTTATCCAATTTCCTCTAACCACACAACTCCCTTCGGCTGGTAGGTAAACTGGTTTAAACTGTTTACTTTGGCAAACTGGTGGCCTCTCCTCATTCTGCAGCATGGAGAAGGACATCTAAAAGCTTAGTGCTAGTGAACACTGAAATATCTTGCTGGCAACAGGAATAAGGTAACAGTGGTCACACGGGTTAGTCTGGGCAGGGTCTGGATGGTTCCTCACCTATCTCAAGTATGAGAGTTCATGGCAGAAGAGGTGGTAATGAGAAGGATGAGAAAGAGAAGGGGATCCTGAGATTACCTACATAAAAACTGGAAACCCCTGCTGACTCATTTTCTATCTTTTGTGGCAGAACTACAAGGAAATTAGGTGAAATTAAAGCCTAAAGGTGATTTTAAAGTTTCATATAAGCATCTCTTTTCTTTAAACAAGTGACTACTGTTTCTCCTTGTAAAGTCCTCTGAAAATCAACTGTGATCTTATAAGGTCACAATCTTGAAAAGCTAGACACACAGGATCTGTATTCTACACCAGGTTAAAAGCATGCAATATTTTTGGCTGATGTAATGCTGGCATACAACTACACAGAGACATGGCTGAAATTTGATCAAAAGCAGGGCAGGAAAATGAGAAGGTGTATGGCTGGATTTGGTAATTTAGAAATCCAGGGTTTAGGTGTGCCTTGAAACACATTATATGAATTGCAGGCTGTGGTTGAAATAGATATTGTAGTTTGGGCCATATGCATTTATTCTGCATTATGAGACGGAACTGCTTGCTTGCATCTAAGTATGTGTTAATCATGGAAATTAAAGGCAATTAAATATGAAACTTCCCAATTAGTCTCTTACCTATATATTCCAGATACATCGTACAAAGCAGCATCAAAATAAAGAGTTAGCTTAAGACTGTAAATGTATACATCTGCTTGAACTATGACACAGGTTCTACCGCATAATCTTTTTCCCACCTTCCTGAGGCAGATCCCTGAGCTCAGTACGAACACAGCTCCCTCTAGAGCTTGAGTATTAGACAGAACTACAGCACGCACCCCTCCGGCTCCGAAGCTCGGTTAAACTGCTTAGAAAGGGAGCACCGTGAGAGCCACACACGTCCCAGAGGGGCCAGGGAGCCTGGCACAAAGGCTGAGATTCAGAAAACCCTCTGCCAGAGGCAGATTCCCTGTTACCAGTTAAAATTGCACACCTTTCCAATGTGAACTTGTAGGAAATGGGTTAACAGGCCCCTGGTTTATGGGAGAGGTGAGGTACTAAGCCCTGAACACTTGAAACTTACTTGGTGTCTGGTTTGACAGGTGAACCTCGACAAGAGTGCGCGTTCTCACGGCGTGAGGGAATAGAGCATGTCATCTAGCTGAGCACCCGTGTCCGGTGTTCTGCGTGGAGAGGCAAGGACTGACATATTTAGACCTTCAGAATGTACAGGATCAAAGCTAATTAACCAACATCACTTCTGCATGACCAGCTGCCTCACAGAGCAGCCATTTTCGAGCTGGGGTGCTGTTTGCCCCTTGACAGCCAAGCCAAAGTTTGGCAGTGGATGAAGCTGGTTATCCAGTGGTGTCCAGTTTCACCACTATTCCAAGAGGGGAAGCGAGGGGCGGTGCAAATGTATGGGGACGCCAAACAGGCAGGGGGACACGGACTGCAGGCACGTCCAGGTGTGCCCGGGGTCGCGGTTCAGGGGCTGGAGCCCGGGGGGCACGGCGCCCGTCTCTCAGTGCCCCTCTCCTCACGGCTTTCCTCGAAGATCCCCGGCTCCGCTTGCTCAACCCGGGCGCTTCCGCCGCCCACACTCCCTGCCCCTTGGTGTCCCGCCGGCCCCCGCCGCTCCCACCGCCGCTCCCACCGCCGGCCGCGCCGGCTGCCCCGCGGGAGGCGCCGCGGTCCCCGCCTCTCCCCGCCGATATAAGCCAGCGCTTCCCGCCCCGCCGGACTCACCGCCCTCAGACCCGTCGGGACCCGTCAGATCCGCTCCCCGAGGATGCCGCGCTCCCCCGCCCCGGGACAGGCCCTGCTGCTGAGCGCCCTGCTGTGCCGCCTGGCCGCCGCCGGTGCGTGACGGACGGCGGGACAGAGGGACGGGGAGGGGACGGGGGGATCGGCGCCGGGGCTCGGTCCCTCGGACCCCTTGGACAGGGTGTCCCCGAGGGAGCCCGAGAAGAGCCGCGGGAAGGGGGGCAGCGGCGCTGACCCCGGGACAGCGGCTCTCGGCACTCGCCCTGTGGCCGCAGGACAGCGGCGCTCACCCGGGCACTCGCCCTGGGCCCGCGGCGGCCCCTGCTCGGGCCACCAAGCACTGGCTTCTTCTGGGGAGTTCCTCACTGTCCACGGCCGGGGCGCTGCTGCGGAGCGGGGGCAGACTCGGGGGTCGGCAGTTGCGGTAAGGTTGCAAGATTTCCTTCCCTTGCCCCAGCTCCGAGCTCGCCGAAAAGGTAGAGAAGGTGGTAATTTGAAAACGAGTAGGATATCGCTCAGTTAAACCCTGGATTTCCAGAGGTTACAGAGGAGCGAGGGGTTTTCCCATCCGGCTTCCTCCCAGACAGTTCCCCGAAGCAGCTGTGGCTGTCGTGGATCATCGCGGCGGACTCCCATCCGCTTGTGGGGGCCAAGAGTCCTGGTGAACTGCACCACATTTATTTGCTGCTTGAACATTCTGCATGTTCAAGCTTTTGTATCATCTTCAGAGGTCTTGAATCAAAAAGGGCTAATTAGACAGAATTCCAAATAAGTTAATTCGTCGATTTGAGAGTTGTAAAACAGAAAATGATATTCTTCTCATATTTCTCACTTCTCCCAGGACACATTTCTTTAGTAAAGATGAGCATGAGCCCATATGGTAGGACTGAGCTTTTTCCCCAAAAACAACTTTTCGGAGTAGCAATTAGCAGCAACCGCTTCATTTAACTAAACAGCAACTGCAGGGAAATAGGAATTACATATCACCACTGATATTTTTCTCTTTTCTGTATTTAAAGGCTATGCAGCACTACCGACAGCTGTCAATATAACTTGGTCTTCAATCAATTTTAAAACTATACTACAGTGGCAGCCAAAACCATCCGGTTACTTCTATACTGTAGAAATACACGGGTAAGTAGATTACACCAGGGTATATCCATTAATGGCAATTGAAGAAGACGCAAATAGAGCGTGTTTGAATATGTCTGAGAATAAATGTAACAGGAAAAGAGCCCAAACATTAGAACTTAGGAGAATTCCCTACCCAGCTGTTAATAGTTTTTGTATCCAACTATAAGAATACGTGGTTCAGGCTTCTGGTTTTGCCCACTCTAAAAAATGGAGAGTTGAGCTAGAGATCAGTATTTCAGTTCTGGGGTTTGCTGCAGGCCAGCTGCATGAGAGATCTAGGCCAGGATACTCTGAAGAAGTTGATGCTCAGTCTGACACACCATGTGTCAGATAGAATTTCACCTTTTTTATGCTTTTCAAGGTGTCTGGTCTGAGTCTTTTTTGTCTTCAGTTTTGAAAGGTGTCTAATAAATGAGTCTGCATTTTATTCTAATTGGTGAATCACAATAAATGAATAATTTGTCTTGCTGGATAATACTAAAAATCACCTTTGTTCCTCTACCTCTGCCAACACTTCCTCTGTCATCATGTTTTATGTAAACTATAAAATATTGTGGACATAAAAGGTACCCAGCTAACGTAAAGTGTCTAACTGCACAAAAACTTCCATGAAGTTCAGTAATAAATCTGTGTTGTTCTTAGCTCCCATTTTAACACATAGAGTATTATTAAATTTGTCCCAAAGGGAAAATGCATCATCAAACCTCCTACATATTAATGAAAAAGTGGTACTGTAGTCTCTTCTGTCTCTAACTAAAAGTGGCATGAGAGCTCTCTCATGACTAATGGATGAAATACCAGTGCAATGGCCTAATGTGCTCTTTCATTCTTTAAGGGTCTGATTAGATTAGTAGACTTAAAAGCACACACTTAGCAGAACAAATTTTATTAAATTTGTGAATCTGGAGTTTCTTTCCAGTGGTTTTGCTTGCAAAAAATTTAAATCTGTTTGCCCAAGATTCAGTGTAGAATCAGATGTAGTTTTGCAACAGAGGCACCTCTTTAGATAAGTTGCTGTTCCAGAGTAAGTGTGCTTAAATGTTTGCTTTCTTGTGTCTGTACATTTACAGAATACATTTGTTTCATCCCAAAGATCAAATCTCTGTCCCTTTTCAAAGCATCTCATGTGACACTATCAATAACTGATCTGTGACATAAGAAATCTGGTGAAGTAAGAAGGGAGTTCAGGTGACTCTTGAAAATAAAACATTTTGAGGAAAACTCATTTGTTAATTTCAAAAGTCACCACTCTTGCTCTTCCAGCTGAGATCACACAGTTTTTCTTTTCCTTAATTCACCAGCAAAAAAAAAAAAAAAAAAAAGGAAAAAAATGGAGTAATAACTTTTTTTTTCAATCCTTCTTGTTAGAAAGTTAAATGGGGAATTAACACTTTTTTCCTGGTCTCATTACTAGTTCTCAGGTAAATGGACATGTTTTCTATTCTTTAAAAATCAAGATAAGAGTTTTTTGTCAATATTTTTTAAATCATAACTCTGCAATGAAATTTGCTGCTGCTGTCTGGTTCTTAGTAACATTTGCCACTGCATAGTTGCAAAACCAAGTGACATATATGCCGAGACGTTGTTGTCACATTAAACTGTGTCAATAGAACTTCCTATAGCAACTGATGTTTCTTAAGGCAAGAGTTTTCACATGCATCAAGGATAACACATTCAAAGTAATTTATGCATCTTATATTTTTAAAAGTAAATTCTGCAACTGCAGAAAAATGCAAAATCAGAACTACTTAGGGTTTCTATCCATTAATATAAAAAACTGAATGTTTAATTCATATATGGGTCCAATAACATATTTCTGTCATATGGATCATACTTACTTCGCTTGATTCTACTTCGAATTGTGAAATACAGCTGTACACAATAGGTTTTCTTCAAGTGTTCTCTTCTCCTTTTCAGCCTAATACCCCTGCAAGACTGTTCTACCAGATGAGGGAAATCCATACAGTTTCAGGGGAAGATGTTTTTCAATATATCTAAATCTGTAAGTGTTTGGTTGGAAGCTGTTGACACTTCTTTCTCGCTCTTTTCAGACAGACATCTGACATTAAAAGAAAATGCATACGGACAACAGAAACAGAGTGTGATGTTACTGATGCGCTCAAGGATGTAAAAGAGACCTACGTAGCCCACATACTGTCTGTAATGCCCGCGGGGATGGATAACTTTGAAGAACCACCTTATGCGCTTTCTGAAAAATTTACCCCTTACAGTCAGAGTAAGTAGGATTGCCAATTAAATCTTGTTATAAACTTCCTTTCAAGATTAGTTCCATTGACTTAAACAAGATTTAGATTGAGCTTAAAGGTTTTTTCTATAGATTCTTACAGTAGCCATGCTGATACTGGAGAAGACATTCAGGCATAAAGCTTTTGTTAACATTGTGTACTAGATGAAGATACTTGTTTACAACCCAGGACTTCACCCTATTACTTTGGCTTCATAAACTCAGAATAGATTTGAGACGGGAAGTTAATAAAGAGTGGAAGAAAGAAGAGCATATTGTGTAGAAAAGATATCAGTTTTTTAATTCTAAAAATCTTTGTTTAGCTGTTATCGGAAAACCAGAGATAAAGAATTATACACAAAAAGGTTCGGAACTGAATGTTGTGATCAAAGATCCACTTACACCATATGCGTTTCCTAATGGAAGCTTTCAAAGCATTCGAGATATTTTCCAGCATGACCTGGAATACAAACTCTATTACTGGAAAGATCAAAGTTCTGGAAAGGTA